CCCGTCCTGCCCGGCATCCCCACTCCCTTTCCCCCCGGCCTCCTCAGGTCTGTCTCTCGCTCCCTTCCGGTCCGGCCCCCCTTAGTCCTAGTCTCCCGGTTCCCCGAGCCCCAGCCCCATGCGGCCCTGGTGGCCGGGTTCTCTCGGTGGCCCCGGGAGCACGCGGGATGCCCTCCGGCTCCGCGCCGCCGTCCTCTTCCCCGCCTTGCCGCATCCCCTGGGCGCCCCATCACTCTGTTCTCCCCTGCAGGAAATAGTGCCATTCTGGGCTTGGTCGGGGGAGGGGCGGAGGTGAGCCACCTCTGAGTAATGAGCGTCTGGGCCACTCGGGGCACATCCTCTCGAGCCTGCCCTGCTGGCCTTGCTGGGCCGATTGCAGCACAGCGTGAAAATAGGAGGGTAGGGGGCTGCGCGGAGGGAGGGAGCTGGGGGCGAAAGGCCAGGCTGCAGCCTTAGTCCAGTCTGGGAGTGTGTGCCTCCTACCTTCCAGCTCGGTGCCGCTCTTTCTTACCTGCGATCACTTGCCTCCGAAAACCTCGGTCTTTGGGCCATGATGGTCTCAGCCACGCTCTCCAAGTGAGTTTGGGCTCCCCTCGTTGCGTTCGCATGCAGGAAGTAGTGGGGAGAACTAGTAGTCGAGAGCTAAGAAAAACCAGACAGGGTAAAGTGTGAAAGTAGAGCCTCACGACTGGAGGTGACTGTTTTTGTGGCCACAGAAAACAACTATTTAGAAAAGATTAAAAATAGAGGTGATTGTCACAGCCTGCTTGATTCTTCAGCAGTTTGAGCACAGGAAGCTGACTCTCACAGGAAGGTTTTTTCCCCTTTATTCAAACGGTGGTACAGGAAGTGCATTCTCCTCTCCACCCCACCCCCTTGCGCTTGCCAGGGCAGGGTTGGAGGCTCAGGCTGTTCAGAAATCAGGTTCCTGGTGTTTAATCAGTTGACTCAGCTTGGAAAGTCAGGCCCACTGCTTTGGGTGGAGAGGAGTCCTGCAGTGCTCTTGCAACCAGCCTTTAAAACAAAAATCTTCAGACTTTCCTCTTTGAACAGGAATGTTCAAGGTGGAGGTTCAAACTTGTATTTCCTGCCCCGTCTGGATTACCTGCTGGGACAGTGGGGTCACTGCTCCAGGAAGGGCCTGGAGGAGGGAAGGTTGGTTCTATAGTCTGGTGCAGGGCTTGGCTTGCAGGCAGCCAGTGCTGTAAGGGCTTCGGGGTTAGGCCTTTGGCCGGGGACTCTTATTTCTGAGGACACCCAGATAAGGAGACTAAGGCTGGGTCAGCTGCTGCCTTGGTCTTGTTGCTACAGGAACTTGTTGAAGGTCATATCTTGGTACACCCGTGCCTAGCAATAGCCAGGTTCCTCGAGACCCGTTAGACGCCTAGGCTTAGCACATCTAGGGATGGTCACTTCTCCTAATGGTAATGTCATATACCTTATTACCGTGGCAAGTGCGCCTCTTAGGATTGGGGAAAAAGTGGTTAGCAGGTGAGAACCGAAATCCTGGCAGATATGGGGCCCAGATAGGGAGGAAGAAGGAGCTAGTATTTATGGAGTCTCTACCTTGTGCTAAGTAATGGATTTATGAGGTCATCGTTGATCTGAACTGTAGTACTTCGGAGTGTCTTATGACAAGGAGAGGGGAGCAGGGAGAGGGGTTGATTGGTGGGGGAAGGTGAGGAGACCTGTCCTGTCTGTCCTAGGGGTATACAGGAGAAAGTGTGTCGTGGTGGGAGAGCACACAGATGAAGTGGTAGCAACATGGCTGTGCACCCACGCAGACCAGCACATCCCGCTCTAGCTGTGTGACCTTGGGTAGGTCTCACACTCCTCCAGCCTCAGCATCCTCTGCATTAATGGAAGACAGTCATGCTAGCCTCATGGGTTCCCAGGAAGCATCATGGGACATTGAGTATGAGCTTGGGTGTACGGGAAGAGTGGCAGCAGGGACTGTAGGAAGAGCTAGGGTTTGAGCACCAGCAGGACAACTGGACTTTGTGACCTCGGGCAGGTAAATTTTCCTTCTCTGAGCCTTGGTCTCATTGCCTTTACACTGGGAACAGTGATTCTTGCAGCAAAGAGGTTTTCTGGGAGGAATGAGATTACATGTGAGAGCCCCTGACACAGGATCTGAGCCCTCGTAAGGGTTTTAAAATGTTAGTTCTTTTTCTTCCTCTTTGGTCCACTGGAGCAGTGGTTGTACACTTCCCTGCCTGAGGAGTTTGGCAGTGTTTGGAGACATTTTGAGTGTCCTAACTTGGGGGTGCTCCTGGAACCGAGCAGGTAGAGGCCAGGGATGCTGCTCAGCATCCTGTGACATAGGTCCACATCAGAGAACTGTCCAGTCGGAGATGTCAGTGGGCTGTGGTGACCAAGGGCTGGCGGGGCAGTAGAGCAGGAGGCCAGCCACAGTGGGCGGACATGAGGATAGCTCCCTGCTCCCAGGTCTCTCCAGATGCTAATGGCCTGAGGCACCCACATCCACAGTGGCTGCTACACACTGGAGTTAGAGGGTTAGCCGGAACAGTGACTTTTTGCCCCCCAGGCTAGTAGTACCCTTTTTGCCCTTCCCTGCCCATCTTCTGATGATGCGTTTACCGTTTGTACTAGGTCTGAGTGAAGCACGAGCTAGTCTGTATTTCCTGTGAAACCTCCAGGATGCTGTCACTTGGTTGCCCTTGTTTTTGGAGACACTGCATTACAGGAGAGTTATGAGGTGGAGGTCATCAGTGGCTGATAGCAGATTGGGCCTTGTTTGACTGGAGAAAGAATTCCAAAGCTAAGAGATAAAGGGGTGGGGTGCCTCTCCCATGAGGGTCTAGCTGGCCAGGGCAGGTGGCCTAGACCCAGCTCATTCAAGAGGGAGCCAGGAGATTCGGCTTTGCTCTGGGGGCTTTCTCTGTTCATACGTGGGTTTCGCTGCATGAATAGGAGTGGAGACCCGATTGGGCAGAAGCCATTCCTTGTTCTATTTCTGAAGCTTTTTGGCTGAAGCCAATGTTTCATATGAGGAAATGAAAGTCAGCTGATGTAATTCAGTTTAAAATAGGTGTCACCTTTGGGGACCTAACCCAGATTGTCATTTTCTTTTGCATGCTGGGTATTCAGAGCTCAGCAAAGAAGGAGGTGTTGGGATTGCAGCTAAGATTTTGGGGAGGGGGAATCATTTATTGGCAGAAGTTCACTTAGATTAATAAATTCTCACCTGGTAGCAGTTGGGACTTCATTGACTTGGGTAGGTCTTGGAAGATAGGTTTAGCACATTGTAATTTAATAGTGTAACTGATAAAAAGTAATAAATGGGAGCCAGCAGATGGCATGGTGGTTAAGGCACTGGATTCCCACATGGCCAACCACAGTTTAAGTCTCGGACCTGGTGACTTGAAACTTAGGCCAGTGTGTGTGTGTGTGTGTGTGTGTGTGTGTGTATGTGTGTGCATGCCCAAAATCCCAAGGGGAGAATGGAGGAGGATTGTGGCATGGCCATCTACCCTGGGGATTATTTCTCCCTTTTCATCTTTCTGGCAAGCACACATGCCCTATGGCAAAAACCTAAAAAAAATGTAAAAACAGTAGATGAAGTTAGGAGACCTCTGTTAGTAACTTCATTAAAAAAAAAAAAATGGTCAGAAGACACCTGCACTTGTCAGAAAGAGGGGAAAAGGAAGAAAGCAACCCCCCAGTAGGGTGTGGTCATACCTCTAACCCTTTTCTATTTCTCCATCATGTCAGGATTTGGGCACACACATGCACTTAGCATGGTTTTCAAGCCACTGGAGCCTAGACTTTAACCACAGCCATGTGGGATCTGACTGCCTTAACCACTAGGCTATGAAACCAGCCTGGTGCCTTCATTCTTCCCTTTTCAGAATGAAAACATGAGAATGACCTTCATTTCATGTGTGCAGTTGTCATGAGAGTCCAGGAGAGCAGATACAGTGCCCAGCCCTAAGCAGGTGCAAGTGAGCTGGATCCTACATTATTTCAAGTTACTGCTCAAGGGCATTTGCTTTGAGGGGGATGATTTGGGGAGGGGAGAGGAGGACTTGGCTTGCAGAGTTGGCACAGAGGCCCTCTACCCTCCTTGTAGCTTAGGAAAGCTCAGGCTATAAACGGCTATTCCACCTGGAAGCTAGCAGTGGAAGGGTGGGTGTTATGGGTAAGATCCCATCTGACTGCTCTGGAGCTGTTTCTGAAATGAATTCATTCATGAAAGTGTGGACATGCTTGCGCCTACATCCTTAACTGCTGCTGATGCACAGGGGACATGCTTCGGGCGTTTCATGCAGCCTTGCGGAACTCTCCCGTCAACACCAAGAATCAAGCTGTGAAGGTAAACTAGGTCACACTGCTGCTCTGCTGGGCCTGGGCTGTGGGGGCTGTGGTCGTCTTTCTCCAGACCTGGAGCATGAGCTCCTGGGGGCTATGATGGTGTCTCTTTCATCCCTGCAACAGTGAGCCCCTGGTTAGTGCTTCCAGGAAAGCAGAAATCTCTTGCCACTGCCCCAGAGGTTGACGCTCTGCAGTTGAAGCTCTCAGTGTTTAAAGTAAAAGCTCCCCAAAGAAACGTTCACTTTTCCCCAGGGCCTCATGGGGTGCAAAGTTAGCCTGCTCTTGCTGATGAGCAAAACAGATAAATTGACTTGCTATATGAGTGGTTATGCTTCTGTAAGCTATTGAATAGGCTTCATCCGTGTAAAATTCACAGCTGCTTTGAAGGATTTCCTGCCTTTCAAAAACTAGGTGAAAAGATAGAGTTGTGCTTACTGCATAGCGGAGGCCACCTCAAAGTGGGCCTAGGGAGAGGGTTCTCCTTGCACCTGGATCTGGCACCTTAAGATACTGCTTGATCCAATGACTGTCCAGTGGCTGTCTCCACAGTCCCTTCACAGCCCTTCTGTTACTGAGGTGAGTGTAGAGGGAAGTGGCAGCCAAGTGAGCATGTTTGGTTTCTGGTTTTTGATTTTTTTTTTTTAGATTTTTGTCATAGGGTGCGTGTATTGGCCAGAGAGACAGATAGCAAGTGAGAGTGAGAAATCACCCCCCAGCAGGGAAGGCCAAGCCACAGTCCCTATTTCCATTCCTCTCTTGGGATTTTCAGTATGTACACATACACCCCGGGTCTGGGACTCAAAGTGCAGTCAGCCACATGAGAGCCAGTGCCTTAACCATCATGCCACCTGCTGGCCTGGTTTTGTTTGAGACAGACTTCTACACTTGGGACCTGTGGAGTCTAAGGCCTCTCCTTATAGTAAGTAGTTTTTATTCCCAGTTTACTACTTACTCCCTCCTAAATAAATGGAGTAATTTATTGGCACAAAGGTAACGAAGTTTAAACCAGTGAGAAAGTTTTAGCTCACTTTTTTTGGAGAGATTTGTGCTATAGGGCATGCACGCTTGCCAGAGAGACAGAAGCGAGAAATCACCCCCTGGGAGGAGGGCCATGCCGCAATCCCTCCTACTCCACTTTCCTCTGGATCTTGGCCACACACGCACCCGGCATGAGTTTAAACAGCCAGGTCCGGGACTCAAACCGTGGTTGACTACATGGGAGTCCAGCAACATAGCCATTACACCAACTGCAGATACCTAGCTCACTTTTTTTTTTAGCCATCCAAGATGAACTAAAAATTGGGAAGTGTCTCTGAGTCTTGGCCACTGGTTGGTGTTCCTGTGTCCATGGTGTTTGGGGGAATGTGCCCGGCTGTGGCACCCAACCTCACTCTTCTTCTTCCTCTGTAGGAACGAGCCCAGGGCGTGGTGCTGAAAGTGCTCACGAACTTTAAGAGCAGCGAGATTGAGCAGGCTGTGCAGTCACTGGACAGAAATGGTGTCGACTTGTTAATGAAGTACATTTATAAAGGGTTTGAGAAGCCTACAGAAAACAGCAGTGCAGTGTTACTCCAGTGGCATGAAAAGGTATGTGAATGCCCCACAGGCAGCCCACTTACCCACCCCAGGTTCGGATCAGGAGGCCAGGCTTTCTCAAACAGATAGGACCGTCTGATAGGCAAGTGAGACTAACAGGGACAAGCTTGAACTAGGACATCTGATCACGTACCTCTCCCAAGTAAGCACCTGGGCGAGATCTGCTGTCTCTTGTAATCATAGTTGCTTTTGCTTTTAACTGCCGCTGTATGCCAGGCAAGACAGGGAGGGAGGCTCGAAGGTTGGCTAGTATCTTATGATACTTTGGATGGGTGGAGGCAGCAGTTGAGGGAGGCCCTTAGAAATGTAGACTTAAGTCCCCAGAGCTATAAGGACTTCTGGCCCTGGCCTTATCCTCACCAGGCCGTAGCGGGCAGTGGGCAGAAACCTTGAATGTCAATGTGGCTTTCATCCACTTAAAACAGAAAGAGCTTGTCTGCCCTAAGCTTGGGTTCTGGCTGGGTGTCACTGTGGCTGCCTCCTATCTTGCTCCCAGAGTGCTACATTAAACACGCCCACCATTAAAGCAGTCCAGGTATGACTCACACCATCCTTCTCAAGAGGCTCTGTGTTAGATTTAAGAGTGTTTCTTTTACAGGAGAGGAGGGGTGGTGCTGTCAGTCCCTTGAGGCAGTCTTAGTGCCAGGCTTGTGGGTCTGTTGCACCTACTCAGCCTGCCCTCTACCTGGGCTCAGGAGGGAGGGTGGCCGTGCTGCTCAGGAGAGGTGAGTTAAGGTCTGAATGGTGTGATGGCCAGACTTTCTGTCCCTTGGGGGACCAAAGATACCTTGCGGGACCAGCAGTTGGCATAATAGCTATGTCGCTGGACTCCCATGTAGTCAACCATGGTTTGAGTCCTGGACCTGGTGGCTTAAATTCATGCCAGGTACGTGTGCATGTGTGCCCAAGATCCAAGAGGAGAATGGAGAAGGGATTGTGGCGTGGCCATCCCCCATGGGGGTGATTTCTTGCTTTCTTTCTCGGTCTCTTTCTGGCGAATGCACACGCCCTATAGCAAAAACCTCTCAAAAAAAAAAGATACCTTGGTGCTGGGGCTGGCATGTGGCATGGTGGTTAAGGTGCTGGACTCTCACGTGGCTGGCAGCGGTTAGAGTCTCGGACCTGGCAGCTTGCTTTCTCAGCCCCCTCTACCCCACAACCCGGTGCCAACCCTGTGAGTATCTTAAAAGGACTGTGCTGAGGGCAGAGTAGGCAGGCAGTTAACTCAGGTTCCACTATGAGCTTGGTGACAGCTCTCCAGCCAGTTCTGCTGCCTTGAGATTCAGCAGCTCTTGGGACCCTTGACTTGAGAATAGCTCTTTCCTGGACAGCAGCCTCAGTTGCAGGAACCCTTTCTCAGAGGGACTGTGTTGTGGTGGGGTCTAGGCCAGGGAGGAAATGCTCCTATCTCCTTGACCAGCCAAGTGTTCCCCTGGCCAGCCAGGTCTTATTTGACACATTTCCTTCTCCTGCTCCCACAGGCCTTAGCAGTAGGAGGTCTAGGCTCCATTATAAGAGTTCTTACAGCAAGAAAGACTGTTTAAAAACAAACAAAAAAGACTCATGTTACCTTGAGAAGAATTTTGGATGCCCAGGCTGGTGAAGAAGGGATTGACGATGGACCATCTTCCCACGAACTCCTAACTAAACTGTTTCAGGACATGTATCTGCTGAAATGTATTTTATTTTCTAAGGTGGAGGGAGAAGTTGTCTTACTGTTTCCTAAATCCTTTGCAGGATCTGATAGTCTATGCCTTTGTCTAGGAGCAATGCAGACTGACATGTGACTGTCTTCCCAAGCACTGGCCACATCGGTCAGGTGTGCCCGTGTGTGCTGCCTGTTTCGAATGGGGGAGGGGTGTGGGCAGGTGCAGATCCAAGGGCTGCCAGAAAGGGAGAGTTTGTTTTTTGAAGTGGAAAAGACCCGAGAGTTTGTATAGACACCCACTGTCTTCCCAGAGAAGGCGGACTCTCGGGTTCATTGTAAAGTGCCTGCTGCATCAATAAAGCTCTTGGCTTATTAGTATATACATTGCAGTGTGTTTCCTGTATGTAACAAACGGTAATGAATGGGGCGGCAGTGACTGAGTGAGTGACTATTCTGGAGACGTGCTGTGGACAGGAGGCCAATGTGTCCCCCATCCAGCTGTCCCTGGGAAGCGAGCATGGCAATCTGTAGGCCCTCCTGCCACAGCAGGATGGCAGGCCTCAGCTCTAGTGCTGCTATGGAGAGACGTTTTGCTGAAAAACTATTTATTGTTTCTTACTCCTTCAGTTTGTATGTAATTTTGGAGCTTATTTAATTAAATAAAGTGCCAAACGTTTAATAATTGATCAAGGCTTTAAAAGTCTTCAGTGTGTGTGGTTGCACGTGGAGTCTTCGAGGGTGGGCCTCAGACATGCCCAGTTGCCACCTGCTGACACTGGTTGCAGGGTACTCTGACTGCTGCACTGGCAAGTTGTCCTAAAAGAGCTAAGCCATCTGATAGAGAAGCAGCGTCCTAGTCCATACCCTTTCACAGTGAGCCTCTTTGAAGGACAAAAAGGCTTCCTTTCCTGTTTAGCCCACGTAATTGGCAGCGTACATTCTGTTAAAGGTAAGGACCTCACCTGAAGCTCTTTTGGGTCATGCGTAGTCTTGGGTATAGACTTTGACTGAAGTGACACACTCTTCTCCCTCTCCCTGTTCCCTGTGTGATTCTTGGGAGGTAGGACAAAGCTGTTGGCTTTGTTAAATTACATTAGTTCATTCACTCAAACCCAATCTAAGGAGGTTCTTTCTGAAAGAGAGACTTTTACAGCTCTTAAAGTTGGCCTTTATAAGTATTAAATACAAGACACAGCACACTAGATTTAACAAGTATTGACACACGAAACTTACCAAGTAAAGCCCACTGTAGCTACATCTGGATTGAAGAGCTTTAATCAAAAATTGTATTGCACCACAAATGAATTTTCTACAGCAGTTTTAGATAATACAACCCCTATGTACAACACTGAAGGAGAAATCCAGATCCAATGCTTATATAAAGGGCTATATATACTGTCTCCATCTCAGAAAGTTTTATACAAGTAAAAGTGCATTAAATCACTTAGAATATGGACTCCACTCTTCCTCTTAAAGCTGAAGGAAATCAACATGCAGGAGGAAAGCCTAATCAGAATGAACCCTCTCTAGGCAAGTCAGACTTGGTGATGGACCGCAGAGCTGCACACACCTCAGCCTGCTGCGGAGTCGGGTAGAGGGTGAGACCAGCTCAAGGACTAGAGAAGCAGCGGAAGGTAGGCCAGGCTTCTACAAAAGTAGCTGCCTCTGGCAAGCCTTGACTACCTGATCTTAGGGATTCCTTCCTGGAACAGTTGAAAAGGAGGAAATCCTACTTTGTAAAAAAGCTACCTCTTACTCTGCAAAACTGCAGAACAGAGGGACTCCTGCTTTGTGTTCCCAGTGCTAAATGGAAAACCTTCTAAACAAGGGACAAACATTTGCAAGGAAGAGCCACGTGAGGAGGTAACTGGAGAATGGTTCGTGGGGATGGCAGAGAGTGAGCCTGCGCTTGAGGCTACATGATGCTGCCCTGGCTTGGGACTGTATAAGAACTCTGCAAGCATTTGTTTTTCTGTGAGAGATTATTTTTTTCGGGGGGAGCCCTAAGTGCAACTGAGAAATTCTGTCATTGGATAACTTATGATAAATTTAGGAACTCCAGTTATTAATTCAGTTTTTTATTTAACCCGTGAAACTTTCATCAAACTGTAAATCCATAAATGGTTTCCCTTTAGGTCTCAGTATTGTGGCTTATCCAGAACAAGTCTATTCCCTTTTCCTCAGTATTAACAAATACAGGTTTGTATCAGTCAGTACCAGAGCCATGTGCAGGTTAGCAAGTGCTGCAGCCAGCTGGGGCCACGTGGGTGTAGTGTCATCTTAAATATGGAGGGGCCCATCCACATACAAGGCAGATGCCACCAAGTGTTTTGGCTGGGTGGGGGAAAGGACAGCTGCTGCATCCACTAACTGCAGCAGATCATCCGTCCTTAGAAGAGAAAATGAAAATGTGACTATCGTTAGCTTAGTGGTGGTGTATCCCAGAACTAGAGCAAAGCCACTGAGGTGAGGCTGATGCCAGAATGCTAGTGAAATTATAAAAGGGATAGGAGTCCTAATTTTAGAAATAATTTTCTCTTGTGCCCTGGTTTTCCACTAGGAACCCCAGTTGAATGGATATATAATAGAGAAGACACGTTTACAATAGCAGAGAACTTTAGCTATAAAAAATAAGTTTAAAATGGTTTACCAGCAACCTATCCAGGACAAGTACATTCATTAAAAGGCAGTTGAGTGTATTTGGTTCTATACTTGGGATCTTTTCCTATATTTGCTAGTTTTCTTCTGTCTAAATAGGGAGACTGCCAGAAAGCTGCGGGTGCTTCCTCAGCCTGCGCTGGCTCCAGTGTGCTGCACCGACGCACCCATCTACCTCGGTGCTGGAGAAGGAAGGTGTATGATGTTTTCTCGAGAGGAAGGGTTAAAAAGCCTCTCTAACTCCTCTGAACCCAAACATGCTAATAGAGGGGGAATTTTTAAAAGCCCCTCCCCAGTTGGCTGCCACAGACACGTGGCATAGGCAGGTGGGTTTAGCCTGCTGGGCACCATTGCAAAGGGCAGTCTTTACCTCCAGTGCCAACATGACATGATGAATCAGTTTCCATCTGACATGCTGATTGCTCCAGCTCTAAGTGCTCACATGAAAAGTTAGAGGACTCAGGTGCAGACAGGATGCTGGCCAGAGCTGGGATAGCAGCAACACTGGAAACCTGGGTATGCCAGGACCCTCCCGGAGGACCAGAATGACAGGATCAGCTACCGCCTGAGGTGCATGTCAGTCTGAAGGGAAGTGAGCCTTAAGTCTTGTAAACAATGTTTAGACACTTGTACAAAATACTGCAGTTACAGTGATTAAAAACCCACCCAGACTGGTGTGTCAGTGTTCTTTTCACAGAAAAAGTGTCAACCCATGGAGCTCCATCCTTGGGTAGTTTCCTCTAGGACCATGGTATCCGAGGGTTTGAGATAGATGGCCGGATGCTGCCCTTGGGAGCTGGCTTGGATCCAAACCAGGACATCTACATTTGAAACAGAAAAGGCTCCTGAGTTGAGAATCAGGTTTGGTGCAGTTTGCTGAAACAGCCGCCTCCCTTCCCTGCACCCGCCCTGCTCCTGCAGGCTCTCTGACTCTGGCTGGGAGCAGAGCAATGAAGATGGTTGTTGCAGTACCCAGTCTATAGGCTGAGAGCCTACTCTAAGAACAGGACAGAAATGAGAGAAAAACAGATGAGAACAAGGCAGTGGAATTGTAGGCAATGTCTTTTTTTTTCCTATTACAGCATTTATGCCAGCACTTTGGGAATTTCTCTGAAGTTTGAGTGCTGGGCCGGACCTAGGGCTCTTGAAGAAGAGTCTTCAATAAAAATGCTTTGAAATCTACCAGGCCTGTGACCAAGTACAGCACAGACATCTGGGCACAAAGAATGTCCACACTAAATGCTGCCCAGATCGAGTTCATCATCCCAAAGCAACCAAGCTGGGAATGCAGCTGTGGCTGGTGCCCCCAGGGGCTGATCGCATTTTCAGCGCTGGGATTACCAGCTGCATTTTCAGGGAGCCGGACAGCAGACCAGAGAACACTACCTTATATTCCAGGGTTTCTTTGAGCATGTTCTCTTCCTCTTGGGAAAAATTCAGCAACACTGACACAGCTTTTATAAGATGAAAAGCCTGAAACAAATTAAGTTTTGCTGCTGTGGACTGGAGTGGGAGGGCTGGGGACAGAGTATTAGGGGGGCTAAATGGCGGCATTTCCTGATTCCCTCGGTCAGCAGGGACCAGGTGGTAGCTGCAGCTCCAGCCTTCTGGAGGCTGGCAGCAATGGCAGGTTCTTTCTGCTCCATCTTTTACCTCAGGGACTGGCGGGATCAAGAGAACCTCTTCAGTGGCCTCCTTCAG